AAACAAAAATCCGACAGTTAATGCTTTCATAAGTGGGAGGAAAGCCAAAACACTATGTCAAGGTGTTCTTCACTGCAGAGATGAAGTGCGAGTCCACGACAATCCCAACACCAATTTTGCTTCATTCATCTAAATGAAAACAAACATACAAAGTTGTATTTTGCAAGGAACACTCAACCTCACCAACGGACAGATCATCGTTGGTGTCGACAGTACTGTCACTGATACGAAGGAAAAGAGAGACGTTAGGAAACTTCAGGTGTGTTAAAATACAACTCACATTAGTTTTATCGGTCAAAAAAAAAACGAGCCACTTCACACACAGCTAAGGCAAGACGCTTAACCTACCAAGTTCAACATTTGTGAAATATCAAAATCACTTTGGTTGGTTGAGAAATATACATGTAGAAGCACGCATTCGGAGTTAGAATCAAGTGCATGCGAAAAAACACACATCTTAAGACGGGGAGCCATTATGCAACCGAGCAAGTCCAAAGAGTGTGTAAGTGCAAATCATAGTCTTTTCCTGAATTTCCAGCAAAAGAAATAAATATTTCAGACTTTGGCTATGGTAAAAAAAAAAATTCACAAGTGGTCATGCAAACTCCATTTATTTACCCCCAGAAAAAAAACTGAAATTCAGCCGAAACACGTGACAGAATGTGCATCCCTTTGTTTTTAAAATAAATTTCTTTGACAATATTACTAATAGCTCAGATAGAAAGTAGGCTAACAATTTTCACTCTTTAGGCCAACTGCACTGAATCAAACAAGCAAAGGTAAATGAGAAAATGGATTGTACGTAGTATATAAATGTGATTTCACAGTAGACTACCAATTATTCGTGATAATTCAGCAACTAATAATTTAGCAACAGTTTTATATTAAAAATAATAATGATATAACAACAGTTGTGACTAAGGGAACATACATAAAATGAGTCTACAAGGGATTATAGCTTGCTTGGGGAACTTCTGTGCTGCGGAAAGCTCGCCATCCGAAGAACCTCCTGAGAAATAAAACTGACTAGTTCAATCAGGAATTTTTTTTTGAACAACTGAACTGCACGAAGAAATAGCATTTTATCAAACAATCTACGCCGCAAAAGTATCAGCAGAAGCTTGAAATGTACCTACAATCATTAACGCACGCATGGATTGTAGTATATATAAACGAATGAAAGAATGAATCGAGTGAACAAAAAAAAAATATGGCGGAGCGAGATGATCCTATCTCCTCAGTTTAAGCAAGTATAAGCAAGAGAGAGAGAGAGAGAGAGAGAGAGTTCATTTAAGACGTTAAAATCAAATAGCTAGCGTGCATCTCCTGATAATCTTGTAATTGCTTATCCTTATTATAATATTATTGACTGTATGAGTTATTTGACATATATTCATTAAAATAAAAAAAATTGTTAATTTGACTGGATTAACAAATTATAAAGGAGCAGTTTAAGAATATGAATAATGTAAGGGACCGATACGTAAAAGTCAAACATAATTTCAACTTCTTTTTTAAGAGCAAACATGAAGCACATCTATAAGAGAAAAGAACTTCCTGGAAGTGAGCTCGAGAAGTACCTTTCTCTTATCCACAACAGGCGAGGGCCTTGAATCGCCCATGAACACTTGTCCGCCATTGCCAATAGAGGAGTAGGAAGTGAAGGCTCCTTTGTTTACATTTTCAAGATGCAATAATTCACATCCATAATTGGGAAAATGAACATAGAAGGAAAGAAATTAAGCAAAAAAAGCTTCGAGTAGGGTGATGTTTATATTTTCAAGATCATCAATTAAAACATAGTCTTCATGGGTTTGAGATGATATGCCTTTTTCTTCAGACATGACAAAGCTAATAATGTTTCCTATAACAAAATTTGAGTTCCAGCATCTTCAATAACATATTTCTTATTAAAACTTTCTCAAATTTCAGTTGCGATCTTGTAAGGACAATAAATATAAAACACCTAATTACTTAAGGTGCTCAAGGTAGTTTGTCTATAAATTTTATCAGCATTGTCCCAATTCTGGATGTCATTTTTCTTTTTTCATGTTTAGGATGAGTTAAAAGTATAGCCAGTTACATTAAGGTACCGTTTGGCGAAGAGATAAGTGAGGGGCTAAGGAGATTTAACCCATTCTTAACCTGCCAAACACAAAAAATCTATATAAAGGTTAAAGTGAGTTAACCCATCATAATTTGCCAAACATAAAAAATATAGAAGGATTAAGCTAACCCCTCTAGAGGGATTAAAATGAGTTAACCCTTCAAAATAAGGGGTTTACTAATATTCCTATTTAGAATAATTAAGAGTTAACCATTCTAATTATAAAGAAAATAGTCAAAATTCTTGTTATTCCCAAACACTAAAAATGATCACAATGGCTAAAATAAAATTTATATAATGAGTTAATAATTTAGTCTTTCGGATTATTAAATAGGTTAACTATGTTAATCATTCTCCTTAATCCATGTACATTTTAACCCTTTACCAAACGGGGCCTTAGTAGAAAAAAAAATCCTTACTTGCCATCTTTTGAAGTGAGTTCCATTAGATGGTTCGATTCTAAAAATATCAGGTAGAGACCTAGCAGCAGTAGTAGCAAGATTTCTAATATGAGACTGAAAACAAGCTTTAAAGATGAAAGAGAATAGTAGCAAGATTACTAATATGAAACTGAAAATAAGTCTTAAAGATGAAAGAGAACATTTCTAATATTCCTAGGCCCATTTAGCATACTAAGAAAGAGTTAACACATTTAAACACTCCAAACTCTTTCTCATTTTCCTATTTGGGACTAAAAATAACACCTAATTTTAAAATATACTCAAAAACTCTAACATGAAATAGCACCCAATTTCTCTATATTATTAGAAAAAGACGTCCAAATCATCGTATCATCCAAATATCACATCTCTAGATATAAACAACTAAGAGCATCTCCAACAGCTTCCCCATTTCCCACTTTTAGAGAATATAGTTAGGTTTTTGGTCCAACAGATTCTCCATCTCATTCCCCAAAATATGGATGTGGGAGAAAAAATGAGAAAGCTTCCGCAAATCTGCAGCATTCTCCAAATTTTTGGAGGAAAAAAGGGATTCTTTAAAATGGGGAAGCTGTTGGAGTTGGTGTAAAAATAATTTAGAGAATATGATTTTTGCTTCCTCATTTTTGAGGAAATTTTAGAGAAGCTGTTGGAGATGCCCTAAAAGAACCAAGGTTAATGGTGTGTTTGGGAGTTTACTAAGGGAAGAGAAGGAAAGCTAAACAACGGGAAGGAAAGGGAAGGAAAGGGAAGAGAATTGTAATATGTTGTTTGGGAGTTGAGTAAGGTGAATGAAGGTGAAAGGAAGTAAATATATGTAAATTTACATAAATGACTTTATACTAATAACATATCAGCCCTTTTATTTGTTTTGATGGGGGTAAGAATGTCATTACACCCATTTACCCTCCTTTACCCTCCTCTACCGCCCAAATCGGGGAGGAAAGAAAACCAAGCAATTTTACCCTCCTTTCCCCTTCCTTCCTCCTCTCTACCCTCCTTAAAAAAAACTCCCAAACAAGGTGAAAGCCTCATTTCTCTTCCCCTCCCCCTCTCTACCCTCCATCCAAACAGGGCATAAAATACATTAAATTGAGAAAGAGAGGGGGGAAACAACAAAAACACACGTCCCCAAAAACTCAATTTTTAATAGAAAAAATCACAAAATAAAATAAAATAAAATTTGCAGAATTTGGCCTGCTGAAGAACCCATGAGCACAATCCCATCAGAGCTTCGATTCTCCTGCTTATTTGAAAACCCGGTGGGAAGTCCTGCCCGGAGCTCAGCCGAGCTCTCCGTTGGTGACGAAGCCGACGATGTCGGGAAAGATTTTATATGAAGATTTGAATTTTTGAATAAACATGTGGGGGTTTGGGTATAATTGCCATTCCAAAAAAAGAGTTAAATATAATAGAATATTCCGTAGCATTTTAAACCCCAAGTAACCACATGGACTATTATCAATTTATTTATGCAAAGTGATGGACTAATATCAATATAGGAAGATTTGGGAGGTTTATAAAAACAAAAATACTAATGGTTTAAGGGACTAATATCAAAAATACCCGTTTTATTAAAATGATCATCTAGCCTTCAACATTGAGTCAGAAACTTAGAATACTCAGAAACAAGATTATAGAATACGCTAGGTGACGTAGGCACCATACTCTACTCCTAGAGGTTTGAGCCTAGATGACCTTATGTGGTTTTCCTATTTTTCTTATTTTTTATTTACAATAATTGATAAAGAATATTAAAGTTACAGAAAACGCTAGGTATTACTAAATTCCTTACCGACCCTAGCATCTAAGTGTAAGATTAGCACCTTGTATGAATTGTGTTTGTTGAAGGGATGGTAGACGAGGCTCTTTGAAAGTGGGGAAGATGGAGGTAGTGTTCATAGTTAGTGGGGAAGTTCTGAGAAGTTTAGAGAGGTTGGAGAATGTGAAAGTTACAACAGAGAAAATCATGACTTTTTGAAAGTGGGGAAGATGGATGGAGGTAGTGTTCAAAGTTAGTGGGGAAGTCCTGAGAAGTTCAGAGAGGTTGGAGAATGTGAAAGTTGCAACAGAGAAAATCATGACAAAAAAATCTAGGCAAGCAACCTAGGTGTCATCGAGACCTTGGCGGAATCCAAATTGGACTAGACACCTACTTTTAAAGCACCATTCTAAAATCAATTAAATCTTAGAATTTTATAATTAAAACGCCTCATAAATCTTGACATTCATAGTTATTTAAAAAAATCAATTTCATCAATTCACTTATTTACAAGAGTTTAGCTATAAAAATGCGGTTAAAAATAAATAAAATACTTTTTTAATAAGCTCATGGTGCTACTCATGAAAGCGAAGTTTGGCAGTGGACGTAAGTCTGCAATACAATAAAACATAAGGGCGGTCAAGTAAAATTTCCCAGCCAACATCGAACGGACAGGATTCATTCACACATCGAACGGTCAAGATTCATTCACAGCGATATAAATCTCTGCAGCCACTCCCAAACTTCCCTCGGCTGAAGATTTAGGGTTTCTATCTCTGCGGTCGCCCCCAAAGGTCGCTCCTTTTTCCCCTTTAACCCTTCGCTTTTCAAAACCCTAGCTTTTGATTTCTAGGTTTCGATTTTTTTCTCGTGTGTAGATCCATTCGTTTACCTAACAATATGTGATTATCTTTAGAAATTTTGAACTGATGGGTACAAATTTTTCCTGTTTTTATTTGGTACTGGAATCAGTTCATGTGCCCATTTCATATTTTATGCTGAATTAATCACGTAATTTTGTGTAGGCTATCAATCTCAGATGAAGTTTGTTAACATTTTGAGGAATGCGAGCAGTACTGAAATAATGATTTTAATTTTTTTTGTGATTAGTTTGAAATGAGAAAGCAATATCTGAAAATATTGTTTCTGTAAGCTTTTGAGAACTCTAGATTTTGCGTAATATAATCTGCAACGGCAAATACTGTGCGTAGAGATTCTTGTGCTTTGATGGAGTTCTTCTGGTTTCCGCGATATCTGTAAAGAAAGTAAGGATTTTGACCGATTCAGTTGTGGGTAGCATTTGGCACTTGACAATGTTTTGGGTTTATTAGGAAATTCTCGGATATAAACTTGCAATAGGGTTTCTCAAAACGATGGTTGATCTATTTTATTGCTGTCGTAGGCCTTTAGCAAAACAATTAAACTTAATCTTGCAGTTACAACAACATGAATATCGTGTAGACCTGGATCCTGCGGTTGCAATGACATTATTCTGTCGACAATAATATTGTGTGAAATCCAAACAAAATCAGAATAAAATCAATTATAAAAGAAATTATAATATGATAAAAGCAAAAGCGAGTAAACCCATGGTCTTTTGCCTAAAATACAATATAACAACTAGTAAAATGTTATCTATATTCTCAATATACCCTATGTGGGATTAAACTAAAAACACAAAGGTCCAAGCAGGATATAGCATCAATTCTTTTTTGCGATTTGTATTTCATCCTGTGATACCCTTATCTGGTCATGTTCTGAATTTTGTATGTTACTTTCTTGTTTTTGGTTATCAGGTAAGAAATGGTGAAGCATAACAATGTTATCCCTAATGGGCATTTTAAGAAGCATTGGCAGAATTATGTGAAGACTTGGTTTGATCAACCTGCTCGGAAAACAAGGAGAAGAATCGGTACTGATTCTTGTCCTTTTTTAATGAAACAGACTTCATTGGGCTTCCTTTTCAGTTTCCAACTTCATTAATCCGTATCATTTTTTTACTAAGTTTAGTATATATGCTAATCTTTGCTTTACACTTTGCTTGTAGCACGCCAGAAGAAAGCTGTCAAGATCTTCCCCAGGCATATGCTAATCTTTGCTTTACACTTTGCTTGTAGCACGCCAGAAGAAAGCTGTCAAGATCTTCCCCAGGCCTACAGCAGGACCTCTCCGTCCAGTGGTATGTAGCACGCCAGAAGAAAGCTGTCAAGATCTTCCCCAGGCCTACAGCAGGACCTCTCCGTCCAGTGGTACACTGCCAAACCCTGAAATATAACATGAAGACGAGGGCAGGCAGAGGTTTTTCCCTTGAAGAACTCAAGGTTTGAATCTGAAATTTATAATTATAAAATATTGCAGTACATTATATCCAAAAGTTGTCATAATGGCTAGTATCTTGCAAATTAGTGTCGAGTTGCCGTAGCTTTAAAGGTGAAATTGAAGTTGCATGTTTGTAAACCTTGCAATTAGTGTCGAGTTGCCGTAGCTTTAAAGGTGAAGTTGAAGTTGCATGTTTGTAACCCTTACTTGTAGCATCTTTATATGAGAAATAGTGTTTTAGGCGAAATTGCCTGAACTCTTTTTAGTTTCATATTGTGACTGATCATGTCACTATCCGTTGGATAGTTCATTTATGGCATCTCATTAATTGGAAATCATCGTTTTCTTAGAAAAAATCGTACAGCATTTTGGAGATTATGAGGCACTTGCAAATACTTTTTATAGAGACCGCCTGACCTTTAGTGTTTAATGTGCATCAAATAGCCAATTCAGCTGAATATGATCAGCATTGATTATTTAATAGAGACCATTAAGGCATCAGTACATACCATTACTCAGTAGCAAGCCCTGATAGATAAAAAAAACTTTTATTTCTTATTTACTTTAGATACATGTAACCTTTTATCATGTTGTTGACATAATCTAAGTGCTAATTCACCATACTTTCTTACTGTCAAGCATGTTGCATCATAGAATTTTTACTTGCTCGCAGATGGCTGGGATCCCCAAGAAATGGGCGCCTACTGTTGGTATTGCTGTGGATCACCGTAGGAAGAACCGGTCTCTTGAGGGTCTTCAGGCTAATGTGCAGAGGCTGAAAGAGTACAAGGCCAAGCTGGTTATTTTCCCAAGGCGCCCTGGCAAATTCAAGGTAAGCACATCCAAAATAAAACCAGTCATTCAGCAAAATATCCGTAAAGATTAATTTTGACTGTACTGTACACTGCTTTTGACATAACAAAATATGCCAAATTTATATCTCACAATCTGTTGAAAATGGAGTTGACACTAGTTGTCTATTCAGCGTTGCATTCCAGTTATGCACATCATAAAGGCATGTAATTGTATACCCTCTGTAGAAGTTCATACAGAGAGGAAGGAGAACATGACAGGTGTCTGTCTCGCAACCAATTTTAAATCCGACATCTAATATGCAATATCAATTAGAATTCTCTATCAGCGCGAGGACCAGCTTTAAAATCAGTACTCCGTTTGTGTTTATTCTCCTTCCTATACGATCTGCTTAGAGGGTTCTTTACAGGATTTTCCATCATAAAACTTTTGTCTATAGAAGATTCCTGAATGATTTTAGATCTTGAAGCTGTGATTGCAATTTCATCTTTCAATGATGCGGGCTGGCGGGTTTGTAAGCTGAATGGTGTTCTTGTGTTATTGCAGAGTGGTGATTCTGCTGCTGAAGAGCTAGCTTCATCCACCCAAGTCCAGGGTGACTACATGCCCATCACCAGAGAGAAGCCGGTTGTCAGTCTCGTCAAGGTGACTGAAGAGATGAAGGCTTTCAGAGCTTACCAGAAGCTTCGCTTGGAGAGGACAAACAAACGTCACCACGGAGCAAGGCTCAAGAGAGCTGCCGAAGCTGAGAAGGAAGACAAGAAGTGATCAAGGACATGAGCGTTTCATTTTACTTTCTAGCTATGTATCTTAATTTGCTCTAGGTGAACATTTTGAGTGGAGACTCTGAGGAAATTTAGAAGTTTAAGATATCTTTTGAATTTTTCAACATTTGCTTGATGTTTAATGAGACACCTGCTATTTTGCTGCTTTTTTACGTGTGATTCGCTTGTCATGGATCTTATGCTAAGTTTGTTTCATTGTTCCTATGCTAAGTTCTGTTTCCATGCATCTGTAGAGGGTATATTATCTTAAATTTTATGTCCAATACACGGTAGTGCAAATCTTGAGGGTTACTTGCATATGAGTTGGTTGATTTTGGCATATGCATTTGCTTGAATAAAATTTTTAGCTATTTTTAACCACAAGTATCTACCAAAATCAAGGGATAGATAATTATTTATCACTGAATATTAAAACACAGCTCAATTATGACTGTTGTGTGAGGTAGGCATGCAAACTGAAGCAAACCAAAACCTTAGCTGAATTGAAACTAAAAAAGGTGTAACCTAATCTTAACCGACATCTTATGCATCATCCAAATCTCATGCATACAGCCGTCTACAAATCCTTGTGGCTGCCTTCTATTCTTTCTCACTCTTTACAAGCCCTGAACCTCTCTCAATGGAAAAGAGCAAAACCCTACTTAGGGATGATGCAATCCTCTCCCACCCTCTCCTCTTCTCTCTGATCCTGATCTTGGGTCTAATCTTTATGGACCCATTTAGATTGAACATGCTAAGTGGGCTCAACTTTCAGCCCGTTAAGCATGATGTCGCACCGTATAGTGAGGTTATGGCCCAATGGCCCAGAGACAACCAGAGCAGGTTGAGGTTTGGAAGGCTTGAATTCGTCGATGAGGTATTTGGGCCGGAGTCCATTGAGTTTGATGTTGAAGGTAATGGGCCTTACGCGGGTCTAGCCGACGGCCGGATTGTTCGGTGGATGGGTGAGACTGTGGGGTGGGAGACATTTGCAATTGTTAGTCCAAATTGGTAAGCCCAAAATAATATATTTCTCTTGAAAATGCAGAATGACATGAATATCTGACAATATGTGTAATACCCCAACCCTTGAGAGGGTGATGTGATTAGTATTGATAGATTTGATTGGAATACTCATACCACCAAGATGCATCTTCTTTTCGGAAACCCAACTCTTATAAACTTCAAAGTTAAGCGTGCTTGGTCTGGAGAAATTCTAGGATGGGTGGACCCCTTGGGAAGTTTTCTAGGGAGCATGTGAGTAAGGACAAAATGTGCTGAAAAGACATATGGTGGTTTGTGAGGCCAGTCCATCAAATCTAATAGCGTACCGATTCCGGGATTCCGAGGCGGGGGCATTACAATATGTCTATATCCAATCCAATCAGATATAAATATAATCTTTTAAAAAAGTTTCTGCCTGGATTCATACATTGAATGGTATGGATAAATTTTCGGTCGGGGTTCTGATATCCAAATATCTAAGTTCGCTAGATGATAAAAAAAATATTTCGGCCTAAAATTGGTGAATCTGAAATCGATGTTTTGGCCTAACTTTAAGTTTGTAGGCACGTTAAACTCATTAGTGAACTATCAATTTCTCACATCTGATATTTATCCATATTTATCTCCTCATGCAATCTGTATCTATATTGAGTTTTGTTTTTGTTTGATATGGACTTTCTTATCAAACCGTTACATATTTGTAATCCGTATCCATGATTAGTACGCATATACGCAAGTATAATATAGATCATATTCGATCCGTACCTGATCCATTTGCATGCTCTGAAGGTCAGAGAAGGTGTGCGCTAACGGAGTTGACTCGACGACGAAGAAGCAACACGAGCACGAGGTGCTCTGCGGTCGACCGTTGGGC